TTTATAGACAAAAATATTACACAATAAAATCTTAAAAGGAAATTGAATTAAAAGTGCAAAATTTAAGAAAAATTACTAATCTATGAAGTATTAAGAGACAATGTGTGTACACAAATTAGTATAGTTCTAATTTAAAAGAGAAAAAAGAAAAGAAAGGGAAAAACAAATTTGCAAATGCATAAATTTAACATGGCGACATATTTTTAACAATACCTCTAATATTCCATCCCGTTCCTTTTAATATTTATATTTGCTTCCTCTGATGTTCTTTACGCCCTGTGAAGTTTTGTTTATATTGCTCAGTTTTGAGAACGTGTTAATCAAGTTTTTGAAAATGCCAACACGCAAAGAAAACCTAGCAAAGAAAACCTATAAAAACGCAACATTTTTAACTTAGTAGTTCCAAACAAATTATTCTGAATATTATTTTTGGTGGCCCTAGTAACTTATCCAGATCATTAATTGTATTTCTATCATATCCTTGAAAATAACTAAATGCAGTTAGGAACGTACTAATTTAATGTCTTTGATAAAGATAACAATTACATGTATTGAATTTAAAAAGAAAGCTTTGTATGAAATGTAAATGTAATTTCTTTTCTTTATAGATGAAGATTCTACAGTATTTAGCCATTTCATGTTTGCTGTTAATATGCTTGCCATCGACCAAAGGTAAAGTTCCCACAATCATATAGAATTTTAAAACATTATTTTCAATTTTTATTCTAGCAGATAATTTATGTGGTGTGACAAATAAAAAGTATATCGAAGTATATACTTGCTAATGTTTTTGGATATTTAGAATTGAACACAAATTTTCTGACAATTTCACTTTGTTTCAACAGGAAAAAAATCCATATAAATGGTGTTAAAGTTAACTCTAAAACCGTATAATTATAGGAGAACATTATATGCGTCGAATGTGGATCAAGTCATTAATTCAACTAATGATATGATACAGATTAAACGAATAAGCACTTAAAATATTTCATCATTGCTTTACTGGCCTTTACTGGCCTGGTAAACTGCAGTATAACTACAGTATAATATATCAGCATCATATAGCACGCATTCGGAAGCTTCCATGATTAATAGTTTTGTCATTTATAACTAATGAGAAAATAGAGAATGTTTGATTTAAAAGACAACTCAGTCATAACGTTTTTGTTGCTCACACTTTGCTTAAATAATGACGAATAAAGGTACAAATTATGAATGATTTTTTTTTATACAATCACAAAAAATCATCCAGCAAATTTAAGTTTAACATAATTCTACATGTATTTTCAGTTACAGACTCAAACCACTTTAATACCATATAGTATTTACATGAACAAAATTTCTTTTTTATTTCTTATGAAAACCATATTTCTATGTATCTAAAGCAATAAATATAAGGAGGTGGGATAACAAGGCGTGGGAATAGCTTCTAGCTTCAATTGTATAAAAAATCATCCTAATTTTGTGAATTGGCATGTATGCTATTTCATAGACGAATAATTTCAAATCTTTATGTTTTTGTTGCAAATTGGAAGATTTTAAATAAAATATATGTAAATGTTAAATAATATTAAATTTGATGTGCTTAACAAGGTATACTACGAAAGCCCAGAAGGCTCATTCGAGTTTCGAAATACGAGATTCGAAATTCGAGTTTCGAGATTCAAGATCCAAACTAACCAATCAAAAGGCGGTTTAAGATTCAATTACTCCCCTTTGCTAAGTTTTGACCTTCAAGAAATCGCTGAATATATTCAAACCAAAGAGGTCATTTGATTATATTACAATGCAAGAAAGAGTGTTATATATATTAGAACGAAATTAGAAAAATATTGGGTTTTTGGTCTGCAAAATATGCTTAAATTTATATCATAACTTCTTAAACATTATAAAAGATTTATATCAATAATATTTATATCGTATTACCTACTTTGTTTACAGGTTTGATGTCATAATAAGAAATATTGTTCATCGGATTCAAAGAGCAAAGGGAGGTGGAGGGGGCGTATTGTAGTTGATGAGGGGGCGTATTGTAGTTGATGAGAATTATTAGTGTACAATAAAACAAGTGACTAGCGATTAATGATAAATAGTAATACGGGTTTCAAAGAGGATATAATTTGTGACAAGGTATTAGAAAGTGACCAGTGACCAATACGAGTTTTAAAGTGACAGTGGCGTAGCTTGGAGTCGGAAGCATAAAATGGCAGGGGGGGGGGGGTCACAAGGCCCCAGTGGGATCAAGGCGAAGACCTGGGGACTCTGGCTGCGAAGCCCCTGGAAGCTGGTGCATTTAAGACATGTGACGATCGACTTAGGAAAGGTTAATTACATTTTAAACCATAAAATGTTAAATGTTAATTTGTTTTTTCTAAATACTTTTTAGCAGCAGTTCTCCCAAATGTCCTTATTATTAGCCTGTTATAGGCCTACATGCATTTTACATATATTCAATGTTATACATCTTACACTAAGTATATATTATCCTTAATAAAATGTTTTTGAAATTTCAATCATACATGCATGTTTTCATGAACTTGAATCTTATGAATTATATATAGAAATGATATTCATAAATTTAATATAAATTGAAAAATTAAAACATTAAACAAATAATGCAAACTTTTTCTACAGTTCAGTATTTTCTTCGGAGAGTGTTTCAAATTTATTTTTGAAAATCATTTTAACTTTTTATGAATTCGTTTCCCCCCAACGAACAATGTGGAAGCACATGCTTCCGTGCCTCAATGGAAGCTACGCCACTGAAGTGGATATAGTATGTGACAAGGTGTTAGAAAATGACCAGTGACCAAGTTTGTGAAACCAAGAGACAGCCCCTTAAGTACGGATGGCTGAAATATGCATGTTTAATAAAGATAATGATTTCTCTTTGTTTTGGCCCGTAAGAAATAATAAAATAAAAAATCACTGTAAAGCCCCCCCCCCCCCCCCCAAAAAAAAAAAAAAAACGGGGTTATCACGTCATTAGACGTTATTTTTGAAAGGACAAAAGCATAAAGTTGCTATGTTTTCTATAGTAAATTATATCGGTAAGAAATATAAGGGGAATATAGGTGGGGGGGGGGGGGGGAGGGAGAGAATGGCTATGTTGTTTATTTTATTTCAACGGTAGACAAATGTTCGGTTACCAACATTCAGTGTCAATCTTGCGATGCATGGGCAAAATAATTATATATTCGATAATTATTTATAAGGAAACCGCTCGGGTCTCGCAAGATACATAACCAATCAATACACAAGTTTCAATACATGATGTAATGACCATAGAGAAAAAAAAGATATAAAAGTATTTAATAATGATAAAAAATTAATTATTTTAACAAAACAATGAACCCTCTATACACCTTTAGGACTTTGAAAAAATCGCAAAGCCTAAAGGAGTATGTATTAAAATTAATTAGTTCATGTACGCCTTTTTAGTGTACATAGGAAATCTTGAAAGACATCGTAGTAGTGATAAAAAAAAATCGTGTTCGGTTTTCCAATGGTGTATATTCCATATAGGCAAAAAGGCTGTAGCCTACACATCATTTTCTTGATGTAAAAAAATAAGTATTTATACATGTATTTGGTTGAAAAATGGGGGAAAGTTGATCATAAATCTTATTTATTTACCAGTTACTAGAATATTTTTTCATCAAATGCAATAAAAGTATCTTTAGCAATCCACACTTTTATTCCTTTCCAACTTTTACAGTATACAAAACTTGATTTTTATAGCTGGTTTAATCTAAAATTGAAATGTTACCTTTAAGTCGATATCAGACTATTAAAAATGACATCAACAGGAGTCTACGATTAGGACAGGGAATAGAAATTAGGAAATATGTTTGGGTTAGTAGGGAGTCAAACATAAAACATTTTAGAAATTATATAGATTATCCAGTAAAGAAGTTTCCATAATTTCCAAGCACTGTGTAAGGATTCTAAAATTTCTCAATTTTATTAAAAGTGGTCATGAAGATTTTAATTTCTGTATCATAAATATATGTTTAAATGATCTATAATTATTTATAATTATATTCACTGGAAAAATGACAATGATAGATGCCTCCAAGATCGCAGAAAGTGGTCCTCCGACCTCCCCCCCCCCCCCTTCTATTGAGAGGGGGCGACTCCCTCCTTGCCTATCCGCAATTCGGCAATGATGCGCTGTAGGTGAAATCTGTGACTTCACATTAGCCTACACATTAGCCGAAGGGAATACCGAATATACCACTGTTTCCCAATAGGAGAAATACATAAAATTTAAGTTTTCAATTAAGGCTTTTAATAATTGATTTAATTAAAAATTATATATACAATACAGACTGGAATTTATTTTATTCCATATCAAATAGTAGATTAGTCTAACTGCATAAATTCACCCTTAAATGTAATGAAATGTATCCTTAATTAAATTGCAGTGTAAAGACGATCCTTAGTACTTCATATCAATGATAATGCGCATATTAAATAATTCATCGACATACTGATTTCGCAATTCAACGATAAGACCATATAATATTCTATATATGTATCTATTGTTTTGTTTAATGAGGAAAATAAGATTTTATACATATTTTTCAAAACGTTACCCAAAATTCATTTCTATTTTGTTTTGATATATATAACATTTTTTCTTGCATTATCATTTAAGCTAATGACCCATTTGTAATCAATATATTCAGTGATTTCTTGATAGTAAAAACTTAATAAAGGGGAGAAATAAAATATTGAATTCGCCTTTTCATTGGTTATTTTGGATCTTAAATCTCGAAACTCGAATTTCGAATCTTGTATTTCGAAACTCGAATCTCGAATGAGCCTTCTGGGCTTTCGTAGTATACCCATAAATCTACGTACGAATCAAATGTACATGTGGTCTCCTTTTACGGGTACCACAATACTAGTATCCCCTTAGCTTGTTTATTTCTAATACAATCCAAAATAGGTCAGTATATCAAAAATTAGCTTCTTGTATAAAAAGAGACCAAGAAATGTCGATCAGTGGTATGGATGCTGTATAAGTCACTAATCTGTGTTCGTTAATCTTGGTCATTTTTTTTAATCCAACTTTACATGCAACCTACCAATTATTTTTCATGATATAAAAAATGGTAATTACAGGGAATTGGAAGAGAGGATTTGCATATTTCGTGTAGTTGTCATATATATACATTGTGTCGTACTACTGTCGAGGGAAAAGAACTATATTTGATAAGAGTCAAATTTGGCCCCCATAAATCATCTTTTTTGTGATTCAGGCATATTTCATTGTTATCTCATTTCATTCAGAGAATTTGGGAGAAAGGATTTGCATATTTCGTGTAGTTGTCATATATATACATTGTGTCGTACTACTGTAGAGAGAAAAGAACTATATATGACAAGAGTCAAATTTGGCCCCCATAAATCACCATATTTGTGATTTAGGCATGTTTCATTGTCATTTCATTTTGTTGAGGAGTTTATGTTAAAGAAATTTTAAATTTATTTGTCTAATTTTTATGCACTTACTGGCTGTAATTGACGCGCGAAATTATGCTATTTTTTGCAATCAAAACAAACCAAGACAAAATGTGCCCTTTTCTTGACGTTTTTTTTTTTGTGTCTAGGAAGCATTGTAAGCAGAATTGAACAAGCAAAGTTTTTTGTCAGTAATATGTCAAGGATAGATATATTTTTGGTAAAAATATAATAAAGTTTATTGAAGTCTTTGCTCAATATTTTCTGGAAGAAAAAATGCCTGAAAATAAGCAATTTTATTCAAAATGCTAAAATGGCGGAAAATGATGAACTTTACGACGTTATATTTCTAAGATATTGCATTTTGATCGAAGTTAAAATCACGAATTAACTTCACGAGTATAGCTATGCAAAGTAAACCTTTATATAAAGTAAAATTAAGATATTCATTTTAAGGGGCCATTTGAGACATCAATCATGTAAAGATCAACGTTTTTAAACTTCAAATGGTTATATCCAGCATTTCAAGGAATTATTTCAAGGATAATGAGACAAAAAATTTGTTCGACAGTCCTACTTTTTGCTTGTTCATTGTTCAACAAAAGAGTTATATACACACAGAAATAAACACAACAGCCACATTAATATTGTACAATGGTGGAATATTGGTAGATCTGTCGTAAGTGTACCGTGTGAAAGTGGCTATCGGTGAGGTAGATGGCAAAAAATTTCACAGAAATATATACATATATAAAAAATAGGCATATGGGAAAATCTGTAATACATGGGAAATGTCTCAGGATGTTTCAATGAAGTATATGGAGATAACGAACAATATTCAAGCTCAAAAGTCCATTAAACAATACAAAATAGGAGCAGAGCAAACACGGACCTCCAAAACATCAGAGGTGGGATCAGGTGCCATGGAGGAGTGAGCTTCCCCTGCCGACCGATCACACCCGCCGTGTGCTCCTTGTCATGATCAGGAAATAACGGAAAAGTCCGTCGACAATTGAGTGTGTAAATAATGGCCTAACAATTGGTATGAAAAAACGTCAGTCAGCATTTGACTCAACGATAAACTGTATTTGCTGACAAGTCATTGTATCGACCATAGAACTTACGAAATGATGACTTTAAACGAGACAGCTGATATTCTTGTTTCATCAACTTGTTTGTCAATAATTTACCTCGTTTTAGAAATATTACATACGTAGAGCATGCTCTTGCGTATCGAATCAACTGAGAGATATATATACCCCGTATGCAGGTGATGAAGGTATATTGCTGCATTAGTAAGGGAAGTTGACGATTGAAAAGTTAAAGCCATCACGTTTTTCATACAACTTGGTTGTTAGATTACCATTAACGTCTTTTTCAAGTAAAATATCCAAATATGAAACACAGACATTCAGAAAGGAGTCACATTGATTACTGAACCTCTTTCATACATGTCCAAAAAAAACCAAGGTTTGCAGCAAATCAATGACAGAAAATTGTGAATTTTTTAAAGGAGTCTTAAGTGTGCCATGTAAAATTTTGGTATTTTTTCATGAAAAATGCTGTCTAAGAACCTTGTCGTAAAGATTAGCATTGTTTTAAAATTACATGTATACGAAATTCAAACGCTTTCATTTCAATTCAGCCTACATGTTTATTATTCTGCCGTACTTGTGATTTTAATGGGGCTGGCAAACAATGGTTAGGTTAAAAAGGATTTTTAAAGGTGCATTGTAAAGTATATTTATATGACTGCTTTGGGCAAATATCTCAAGGGTTTTGATATCATATTTAATGATGTTCCTCGTGCAGTTGTAAAGCCTCCTAGGATGTAAAGACATGTAATTCAGTCCTGGAATGATTGGTTGTCTACATATTTTTTAAATCAACGCATTTTACCAATAGATATGGTGCTCGATGATGTATCATTGACAAACTGCCATTAGTTAAAAGAAAATAAAACATATTTAGAGCAATCCTGCGAGATTTTAACCATACTGAAAGCTTTAGATGTCTCAAGTATTACATGAAATCGTAGTCTATAGTTATACAGTACTAGAGTATGATAAATTTTAAACTACATCGTAAGACAGTATTATGATATGATAAATGCTATTAACTGATTACCAAAAAATATCCTCCTTGCAAAACACCTGAATTTAATATTATGTCTCATGAATTCCAACAATTTCCATATTTTCTTTGACCGTCCGGTACCTTGCTTACTTTGGTTGTGTAAGTGAAAGAACTATATGCTCTTTGACAGAGGCATTTATTCTGTTTGCAAGTGTCATTCAGCTAGGACTGTTAGAATTTTGATCTCCTTTTTAAATTAGAAAAAACCTAAAATAAGGAGATTTTACATGCATTTTTTGCTATATATGACAGTTCATAGAAATAAAGGTGTCATTTAAAGAAAATGAAAACAACACAATTTTCTCCTCATCGAATTTACTGTTACCTTTGTTAAATGTTTTCGAATCAATTTCTCTCTTTTTTTTTCTAAAGGGGAAACCACACCAGAGGACACGACAGTTGTTGACTCTTCCACATCTTCACCAGAGTCTTCAACAGTATCGGACACATCTAGCAATGAAACCACCACCACGGCCTCTGTGTCCAACAGCACGGAAACCACCACCGAGGGTGCTAATATGCAATCAACCACAACTTCACAGGTGGTGGAGTCTACTTCTGAACCAACTACTACAGATGACGTGGGAGAAACAACTACCACAGCAGGTAGGTGGAGAAATCCACAGTTACTTGAATTTGAATAATGGCTTAAGTGGCAGTGTGTTCGATAGAGAGTGGCTTAAGTTGCTTTATCAGATTCTATATATTTATAGATTTCGCTATTTTTCTCATAGCTTGATTAAGATATATATATATATATATATATATATATATATATATATATATATATATATATATATATATATATATATATATATATATATATATATATATATATATCCTTGATTCTTGACAAATATGTTTATTTGTTCAATTACAAGAAAACGTATGAATATAATATGCATAATAAATTTAAGTGAATTGTAAGAAACTAACATTGTGCAAAAAGTCACTTTTGCTGTTAGAAAGTTGTCATTATCAATTCTTGTGTAAATTATAACCAAAAATATATTTGAGATTTTTTGATATTTTCTATTTTTATGAAAAAAAAACTTTCCTAACAAAGCTTATGGATCGAAACAATATTATTTTATCAATTTACTTAAACATTATGTGTTTTTTGATATACATAAGCTTTTTTATTCGTAAAAGCTTCATATTTTTATCATAATTTTGCTTATATTTTCTTGTACAGATGAAAGCTCAGCGCCATCTTTTATTACCTCAACTATCACACTAGATTTAAATAATACACTTAGCAATACAGATCTTTATACAACATATTCAACAATTTCCACAACATCAGATAATCTAGGCACACAATCAACGACAGCACTATTAACAACATTACAAACCCAGTCAGAAGATACTACGGAATCATCAACAGATTTTCAATTAACAACCTCTACTGCCTCAGTAATCACAACAGAATCCCAATTAACGACATCCTCTACGACAGCTTTCACTGAACAGACAACAGCAGAGTCTTCTTCCTCAACTTCCACTTTATCAGTTATCACTGCAGAGTCGACCATGAAGTCCCAAACAACTACCACTTTATCAGTTGACACAACACAAAGTTCAACAGAATCCCCGTCACCAACCTCCACTTTATCACTTAACACTGCACAGTCGACCATAGAGTCTCCATCAACAACTTCTATTTCATCAGTTGACACTTCACAGACTTCAACGGACTCCCAATCAACAATTTCCACTTTATCAGTTGACGTTACACAGACTTCAACGGAATCAGCATCAACAACGTCAACTTTATCAATTGACACTACACAGACGTCAACAGAATCCCTGTCACCAACTTCCACTTTATCAGTTATCACTGCACAGTCGACTACAGAGATCCCATTATCAACTTCCACTTTATCAGTTGACACTTCACAGACGTCAACAGAATCCTCATTACCAACTTCGACTTTATTAGTTCACACTACAGAGACCTCAAGAGAATCCCCATCAACAACTTCTACTTTATCAGTTGACACTGCACAGACTTTAACTGAATCCTTATCAACAACTTCCACTTTATCAGTTGACACCACAAAGAGTTCAACAAAAACACCATCATCAGCTTCCACTTTATCAGTTGACACTACACAGATTTCAACAGAATTCCCATCAACAACCTCCACTTTATCAGTTGACGGTACAAAAATTTCAACAGAATTCCTAACAACATCTTCCACTTTATTGGTTGACACTACACTGACTTCAACAGAGTCCGCATCAACAATTTCCACTTCATCAGTTGACGTTACACAGACTTCAACGGAATCAACATCAACAGCTTCCACTTTATCTGTTGACACTTCACAGACGTCATCGGAATCCTCATCACCTACCCCCACTTCATCAGTTATCAATGCACAGTCAACTAAGGAGTCCCAGACAAATTCCACTTTATCAGTTGACACTTCACAGACTTCCACAGAATCCCCGTCACCATCTTCCACTCCATTAGTTATCACTACACTGTCAAGCACAGAGTTCCCATCAACAACGTCCACTATATCAGGTAACACATCACAGATGACCATAGAATTATCTTCAACAACTTCCATTCCATCATCACTCATTACTAGTTCGACAAAAGAACCTTCATCAACAATATCCACGCATTCATTAGATAACACTACACAGTCTTTCACAGATTCCCGATCAACAATATCCACTCCATTAGAAATCAATTCACAGTTAGCAACAGAATTCCCATCAAAAACTTCGTTTCCCTCACTTATCACTATACAGTCGACACAAGAGTCTCAATCAACAACCAACCCTTCATCAGATATTACTACTTCAGTATCCCCAGTAACAATTTCCACTCCATTACTGATCCATACACAGTCAACATCAGATCTAGATTCAACACCAACAACTTCAACTCCATCTGTTACCACTATAAGTTCAACAAAAGAGCATTCATCAACAATTTTCATGCATTCAGTAGTTTCCTCACGGCTAACTACAAAATCCCCATCAACAACTTCTACTCAGTCTGATGTAACTGCAGATTTAACTGCACCTTCCTCATATCCAACTATTACACAGTCAGGTATCAATACACATTCGGCAACAGAATCCCTGTCTACATCTTCCACTACATCATTTCAAATAAGCACCACCTACACTCAACCAGATTTTATGTCTTCTTTAAAATCTACAGCATTTGCGAACAGTCAATCGACATCAGAAAACATGTTATTATCAACAGAAAACACAGATACGTCAATAACCTCAGAGTATATGTCAACATCTTCTGATTTATCAACAGAATACACCTCAGCATTTATAAATTCTACAACAGATAATCCTTATCATACAACCACACAAGTGAATCATGCATCCACGTCAACAGCACATAACTTGTACGATACATCGCCTTCAACATTTCATTCAACAGAGACAACAGATCATACATTTTCGTTATTTGGTGATTCATCAACGGTAGATACACTAACAAGTTTCACAACGACGACAATATTCCCCACATCTCCAGAATATACAACAGTTTCGACAGAGAATTCAATGACTCCAACAGAGTATTCATCATCCACTGAATATGCATCAACGTCGTCAGAGAAAACATCGACCCATAGCTCCACATCAGAAGATTACATGTCGCCTTCGTTGCAAACCTCATCAAGCAAATCTTTCAATCAGACAGATGCAGCAATTATATCAACCACAAATAATATCATACTATCTACAACCCATTCTATCAGTGATGTGACAAATAATATTGACACAACGTACAAGGAACAAACAATGACGACAGGACAAACACCATCAGTAACAGAGTCACGCACATCCACACAGCAACAGACTGAATTGGCAACCTACAGGCGCACATCTGTGCAAGCAACATCAACAACTCAAGACACAATAACAGCGGAACAACATACAACTACTGACGTACATGCCTCTCAGGATACATCTACAAGACTACTTGATGTGACAGCGCCAACAGCTGTCATGCACTCTACTATGGACACCGTAACTTCAAATCAACAGTCAACTACAACAATGAATGAACAGACTTCACAATATACATCTACCGTCGAACAAAAAACATCGACATCAATGCACACACATACAACGCAATACACAACTTCATCTGAACAAAAAGCAACTACAACATTACACTTAGGTACAACACAATTTCTAGATACAACATCTACCCTTGGTGATGTCAGTCCAACAGGTAAAACTTGTCTGTCTCCAATCTCTGCTGTGTCTTAGATATGACACGATATCAATGTACATGGCATGCTTTTTCGCTACTACAACTCACCTTTCTCTGTTTCTTTTATCATGTAAGTACTCTTTTGAATGGCTGATCGTAATGCAACACTGCTCAGCATCTTTTGATATGAAATAAAGTAATGTTGTTGCCTTAGACCACATCTGGCGCATGCAAGCGAATCTCAAAAATTGGACAAAATTTTCAGGTAGAATTTTATACTCATTTCATAACTGGAAACACTGGTAATTAATCAAGTGGAAGAGTGGAATTATATCCCAAGGAGAAGAAATCTGACAGATGCCTGAGGGAGGCACATGTGTTACTCATAAGGCAGTCCATTTCACTTGGGGGGGGGGGGGGGGGGGTTACAGTCGAATGTGCTGTTTTGACTCATTTTGGTAACTTGTTGATTATAGATATCGTATTGAATTGTTCTATCACTATTATTACTATAGTATATAGTAATAATAGTAATATATAGTAATAATGATACTATAGTATGATATACTATCGTTATTATTATACTCCACATATTTCATATAACATTCTTAAAAACATTCGAATGAGTAACATTTGTCACCTCAAATGTTTACCCGGCGTTTCTTTTTTCCCCTATCATTATGTATGCTAAACAATGTAAATCTAAGAGAATAATAATTACCCTTTTCCATATCACATCATGTATCAGCCTGAGACACCAATATCAGCCAGAGGGCTGAAGGGCCGAGGACTGATTTTGGTCGAGAGCTGATACAGAATGTGGTGTGAAAAAAGTTACATACAGTGTACTAAATAAGAAAATACAGCATACACCATCTTGAGAAAAAAATAGCCATGCACTTAGTACTGAAATGTACCTTGTTATATCAAAGAACAGTAATTTGAAATTAAGAGAATGTGAACAAAAAATAGGTGTATTATCGTAAGTACTGTTTTTTAAAGGTTTAATCTACTAGGGCTGTGATGAATCCGTATCAGCCCTGCAGGATCCATATCAGTCCTAGAAGCTGATACGGCTTTTGTGACATCAGGCAAATTGCATATGTGAAACATATGTATTTATTACGGAGTATCTAATTAAGAATACTACAGTAAAGTGTTGAGGATACTCTCACTGTCAAATATTAAAATGCATGATTTTTCTGAATTATAGTATGTATAGTTTTCACTGAAGCATGAGTTGTAGAATCAGTTATATCATGATTAAAATGCTGGGACCACAAGTTGTTACTAGTAATACGATATTAAAACAAACGAAATTTTATTAAAATTCAGAAGTTAACATTTGTATTACGTATACACTTAAGATTATTTGCTGCGTACGTTTTATATTAACGGTCGAACAAAACTTTTCAAAACGGAGTGAAATGGACTATGTTTACAAAACTTAACCTTTTTTTTTCGAGAATAAAAATGTTTACAGTAATGGTTTTTGAAATTTGAAATGCCTTTTAATTTTGTTCCATTGTATGTATGGGTCCTACCATTTTCATATGAATCATAGTCTTACGTGTACTTTTAAAATAACAACTGTACTTGAATGATCCCAATGATAATATGTGATTTTGTTGTTGATATAGCACGTTTATTCAAAGTGTAGAGAAAAGCATGATAAATGTTGACAAAGAATATTGAATTTATTACCTGTAATGTGTTCAATGGGCTGATAAAGCAAACTGCAATGTTTGAATAGGGCATTGGTGCATAAAATATGATAGAATCATACAAGGTGTTCATCTTTCTGGGAAAGCAATGATTCGATGCTGCATGCATTAAGTACCTTCTTTTGCTAAGCTATGGATCCAAACAGTGAATCAATTTTGTCTTTTGATGCAGAAAAATGTATTGAGTATTCACAAAATTAATCGCAAATAAGGTTCAGATTACATAACGTCCATGGATTTCATCTTTCATTTCATAGAGGGGTTTCTTCTACGTAAAATCGATACATTGTTTAAAAACATAAACATTAATTATTAACCCTAGATTGATAAATACCAATTAAAATCATTTGAGGCTCATAAGCTTTAATGAATTTTTAAGAAAGAAGAATTTGAGATTTATAAGAATTTGGGGTTAAGAGAATCTTTAGATAAGGCCATCTTTAAAATAATGTTTGCTTGACCTCTCTAGACTCAGGATAAAATAATTGGGTCGGTCGCTAGGTGGTTTATTTGCCCCCTAAATATACTCAACACATAGGCGTCGGAACCGGGGGGGGGGGGGGGCTTAGCCCCCTCCACTTTTTTTGCAAAGATATACATAATATAGGCATTGAAAATTGGAACTTACCTTTTTTCATTGGTTTAGCCCCCCCTCCCCCTCCCACTTTCAATTAGCCACCCCACTTTTAATTTGCTTCCGACGCCTATGCAACATAAATGCTGAATTTTCGAAATCTGTTAAAATTGAAGGTACTGATAGAACAGCGGGTGTTAACGGTCGGCAGGGGATGCTCATTCCTCCATGGCACCTGATCCCACCTCTAAATTTTGAGGTCCGTGTTTGCTATGCTCCAAATTTGTATCGTTTCATTGGACTTTCGAGATTGAATACTGTTCGTTATCTTCATATTTCATACAATTAAAATAGCTGTTGACGGGATGAGGAAATTCCGGAATGAATAAAAAATCGTTTCCTGCTGGTTTATAAGAGTTTTGAGTCTATCCATTTCTAACCAGTCGGTCGGGAGAGGGCAAACAAACAATTTTTTTATAGATGGGCTGATGTAATTTATATTCTTTTTTTTTCATAGTCTTTCATTTTATGTTTTTATTCAGAAACTCTTTCACCAACCTCTACACTAGCTGATACCACAACTTCAACCCAAGAATTAACAACAGCAGCGATGCAACAAACTACAACTATGGAAAACTTGATGAGAACAAATGTACAAGATACAAAAGCAACAGAAACGGAATCAACAACAAGTCATGAATCAACGACTCCAATGGAAATAACAACAACAAGGCCACAAGCAGAAACAACAACAACACTGGCAGCAGCAGAGACAACAACAAAAATGGCAACAGTAGAAACAACAACAACAATTGCACCAGCAGAAACAACCATCATAACTTCTCCTGGTGAGACCACAGCAGTGAAGGTTTCAGAAACAACTTCAACAATGCCTGCAGTATATACAACAACAACACCAGCAAAAACAACATCGGTTATACCAGAGGAAACTACTACAAAAGAGGTGCTAGAAGAAACAACAACAACAAAAGTGGTACAAGAAGAAACAACAACAAAAGTGGTGCAAGAAGAAACAACAACAACAAAAGTGGTACAAGAAGAAACAACTACAAGAGCAGTACCAGCAGAAACAACAACAACAGCGGTTCCAGCAGAAACAACTACAACGAAGGCACCAGCAGAGACGTCAACAGTGGCACAAGAAGAAACCACAAAAACAATGGCTTCAGAAGAAACAACAACGGTGGTATCATCAGAAATGACAACAACTGTGGCACCAGTAGAAAAAACCACAACTTCTCGAGATGAAACCACAACAGTGAAGGTTCCAGAAACAACTACAACAGCCCCTGCAGTAGATACAACAACAACAACAGTCGCTCCTACTACCACAGTGGACAGATGTGCTGGTGTTAATTGTAACAATGGAACGTGCACACCGTCTACAAGTTCCTCTGCTGGATACATTTGTCAATGTAAAGCAAACTACACAGGGAACTCTTGTCAGTTTGGTAAGTTTTTTTTAGAAATCATAAATTGTAAAGAATTGGAAATATAGTTTTCTACTTTCAATTATAATTTAGTTTCTCATATTCATTTTTTATCTCAGCTGAAGCTATGTATTCTCAATGGACTGCATGGGGGGCATGTGACCAAGATTGTAAAGGTGGGGTAAAGAACAGGACACGAAGCTGCACCGACGTCACCGGCGCAGATCGAGGCTCAGACTGTGGGGCCGATTTATTAGAGGAAATAGCATGCGAGAATCTACCGGACTGTGTCGGTAGGTCATCAAGGAGAAAAGATACAGAAAAAAAATTGGACGCTGAAATTTTATTTAGTATTCAAGTTGAAAACCACGACAATATAGTAAAAATCCTTTTATTACATGTTTTTTTTTTTTTATTCACTTTTTGTAGAATTTGTAATGTTTTTATCTCAAAACTTCAGTTTGTGACAGCTGTATGTGACTTTTTTTTTCTTCTAGTAACGACTAACCCTTGCCAAGACTCGGTCAACCCTTGTCTGTCTGACGGTGTAGCTCATACATGTTTGGTGAAGAGTGACGGGTCGTTTCGTTGTTTGTGTCAGGAGGGGTACATCAAAGACAACAACAACGTATACTGTAACAGTAAGTAAAACAACAAGAATGGTTACAACAATAAAACAAATACAGCAACAACGAAACCCACAACAATCATATTCAGGTACACAATGCATTCCATTAAATTACAAAAGATCTCTATTGCACAGCAAGTACTAAATTATTTCAAAAAAGGATAAACAGATATTCAAAAAAATTATTGTAGTAAGTCATCCTCACAATGTCAAGGTTGTGTGATTTCGGAACTCCACACAAACCCTTGACATAAGTCGCTATTTAAAAGTAGGGCTAGAAAGCTACTATTTCATTTGTTCCTGGTCTAGGATTGGAACCAATCAGAAAACAGCTTTTATTGTAGGTAAGTTTTGTAAACAAATATGACTCGTCTTTAAAATGGAAAGTGTCGATATTGTAGGATTTGTGACTACTTACATAAAATGAAGCATCGGGGATTAATTTTTGGAAGATCGTCACCCTAACAATCACAAGAGATATGCTCTGGAGTTGGGCCATTTGAAAACGACGGATTTGAAAATTATAAAAAAAATTTCTCACTGGTTAGTTTATAATTACCGATTACGTCATTTGTAACCACAAACCCAAGTTTTAAATAGCGACTTATGTCAAGGGTTTGTGTGGAGTTCCGAAATCACAAAACCTTGACATTGTGAGGATGTGTAGTAAGTAGGAAATTAAAAATAATAAACGACAGCAAGTATTCTCGAAATATCAAATCAACACGTGACAAAATTATTATTTAAAAAAAACAGTGTTTATCTCCAAAGTTAACGTAAAATAACAATAATTTCAACTACTTATCAAATATATACATGTACACCAATATCATAGTGATACATACATGTGTACCAATATCATAATGATGCGTACAATACCCAATTCATCTAAATGACTAGCAGATTTTTGGATTGGCAATGCACTGGCTATATCAAAATTCATCGACAAAAAGAAGACGTGGAAATATATATTACATTACTGAATAATTTTAGATGAAAACGAGTGTTTAAGAACAAACAACGACTGTAAGGACGTGAACACTAATTCATTCAAAGTGGGCGTGTCTGGTTGTAAGGATACTATAGGAAATTACTCCTGTACCTGTCAAAGCGGATTTACTTATAACAGCGACGCCAGGACCTGCACAGGTGCGCTTTTAATATTACATATTGATATATAAGGAAATTATATTTCATGTAGGTTTATCCAAGAGTTAGGGTATGTAAATAGATATTATCTTTTTCTATTTTCTTTATTGGCAGATATCAACGAGTGCAGTAGCTCATCAACAAACAATTGTGACATCCAAGAGCGGGCCATTTGTACCAACACACCTGGAAGTTTTACATGTGCCTGTAAATCAGGATATCAAGGGGCGGGGACTACGGGGACATGCACAGGTAGGCCTGTCCTTTGATTGCATATTTCCTCTTCAACCGTTTCCACTTCAAATTGATAAGAGAATTTGTGCAAAGTCGCAATTAGTAACCAAAAGGTATTATTAATCATATATTGATAAAAATATGCGAACCCACATCTGTGTGGATTCTGATTACAGCGGGTTTTTTTGGGGTTTTTTTTTTTTGTTTTTTTTTTTTTTGGAAAAAAATGCCGTACGAAAATATTCCAACTGACATTACTTCTGACGACTACACGATGTTAAAATTTTCTGCTGATCATTATTACCAAAAACGTCACAATTTTATCTGTTACACTGTGAATACATATTAATATGATTTCGTGGGGCTTCTCTTGAAAGAATTTTAATTTTAGCCCCATGCAATCCCCAGTATTTGAGTAATATGAATCCACACTACGTAAGAATGCTTGCATATCAATGTGTATTGTCATGGCCCAGTGGTTACTGAGAAGATGATTTTTAATGATTTTTTTAAATTCCGATGTCACAAATTTGTTTTATATACTCCTATCCACAAAAGGGGTATTCCCATGGAAAACTTTGATCCCCTGTTGTGGGTCCATCCAATACCCTGTGACCATGATTTTAACAATTTTAAATCGCTCTACATTATTTAGAATGCTTGCATATTGATATGACTACTCAAGGTCCTGCTATTCTTGTTGAAAAGATTTTTAAACTTTTCCTCTGTATATTCCTATATCAAATTTACTCTTATAATGTTGCTCGACTCTATCTTTCAGTTGGTCTTCATCTGAACAAACTTGAATTAGCGCTACCTATGCTTTCTTATTAATGACCAATCATAGCCCGGCTTCTCTTGAGGTTTTCACAATTTTGAAAAGTTAGATCCAGTGATAAATTGGCTTAATCTTGCATTCAAAAGAAATCCATCTGGTACTGGCATCATATTCCTAAAACAATTGCACAAAAGATTAAACCGATAACAAAATCATATATATATATATACACTGAACCAAACTTGTAAGTGTTCACCAAACATTTTTTAAGTTATAAATAACAAATGCATACAATAAGTAATTTCTTTAATTCGTGGTTAATGATGCATATTTCTGTTAGATGTTGCATAAATTTCATGTAAGTTTCTCGTCAGACTTTATAGCAAAGTGTCAAGGACATGATGTGCCCTCAAAATGAAAATTCACATAAAATAATCTCTATGGAGTAAGACAACCATTCGCTCTAATTACTGCAAGACATCCTTTTCTCATGTTTACAACGTATCAATGAATAGGAGGTTGACCTATCTGCTGCCACAACTTCTATATGAATCTTTCTAAATCGTTGAAATTGCGTTGAAGGGGGGGGGGGCGCTTTGACATTCCTTATAATAGTCCCAAATGCATTCAGTGGGATTCAGCAGGCTAGGGCATCACACAGATGCCTTTTGGTCAACACTTAGACCCTCATTGGGCGTTTTACACGTACGTGTACCTCTTTCAGGATGATTTAGACTGTTAGAGATGATATTGGACTGCTATGAGCACCAATTTGTCGCAATTTTCTTACCATTGAAGTTTCTGTTTTAAATGTTTCTAAAGTGGTTCAGGACTATGTAACAATCTTTTAACCTGGTTGTGACGCGAAACCTTGGCCTCAAACGGAGATCCAGATCACTTCCGGTTTGGTTAAATTTTCTCCAAAGCTTTCAAATTGTGATAAGTTGACTATGAAAATGACACAATCAAAAAATGATAGAAAAATGTGTTTAAATGGATTTTTATACTGGTTGTTCATTTTCAAAAGTAATATCAAGGACAAATAAACACAAAAATAAAAGTGAGTAAAACGTGTCGCAAGGATGATCCAGATGTCAACATTCCAACGGCTCTTGCTCCTTCCTCAATGGTCATTTTGCCCATGTTTTGTGTTTTTTAGTTAAACCAGTTGTTAAAAATCGATATTGGTCACAAAAAGAAGCTGATTACACAAAACACGGTCTGCAAAGTACAGGTTTATTGTTTTTAAGCTTCGTCACGGGACATTGGTTTTCATCGGTGATAATTGATTTTCTTTTGACAATTGTTAAGAAGACTCATTGGTTATAATCATTTGAAAATATCATACCATTCTATCATGTAGTTTTTAAATAAATACATTTATTAGAGTGATCAACTAGAAGTTTTGTTAAGTATATATATATATATATATATATATATATATATATATATATATATATATATATATATATATGACTGATACTTTCCAGAGAAACGATTGATGTCCCATACCGGACATACTAAGCTGAATTCCAATGATGAATTCTCCTCCTACTTCTTCCCCAACTTTGCCATTCCCTTCGGCACTCATCTGTATCCGTCATTCTATGTAAGTATCTTCGAAATTGTACGTCTACTAACAGAGGTTTGATTTAGAATTCCCGTATGCGAGATAAATGTTTAAATTACACCAGAAACTTACAATAGTTGTGGTTAATACGAGTTGAAAGATTTTCTTTAATTTAGGGCACCCCTCCTTATAATCTGTCACTGAAAGATACATCATAAGTAATTCTTATCATATTCAGAACACTTCATATATATCATTTAAGTAGTAAATATCTGTATTCAACATTTGGTATGAATGTGCTGAATATCTCCATAATCTACAAAAAAGCAATATTCACCAAATCATTTTTCAATTTTAAATTTAATTTATTTAATTTCAAATATGCAATAAACAAGACAAAGGTTGACCTAAATGCTCATATGATTTGTAATTCTTAAATCAGACCTTTTATAAAAAGTATTAATGGTGTATGTATGTAAAATTGTATTTGTAGTTTACAAGGAGTGGATTACTGCTGTTTACAACAATCACAAGTGATACCGTCAGTATCGGAAAACGGAAGTCTTTTACGAACCCCACCAAGTTCGTCATTGATAGTTCCTTCCAAGAAAAAGCTGCTGTTGCCCCATGGTGGTCAAACATGATTATCAGTTCCGGGGTAAGTAACTCTTGTTTGATGAATCAATTTTATGTATTTAATTTGCAGATTGCAATGTCTTATTATGTTGATGACGTGTTCATGCCATGTTAACTTAGGATAAAATGATGTGTGGAATTCTTTCGAAATGTCTTTCCTCCTACAGTTTTCTTTCGATTTCAAAGAAAACATTAAATTGAGAATTTGATTTCCATGATCAAAGTTGTCGTGGTAATACTTTATTTTGACTTTTGCTACTTCTACATGTTTTTTGTCCAATTTAATAATGGTAAACATCATCAAGAAACAGTTCTGTGTAATTTTTTTTCTATTTCAAAGAAGCATATGTCATGTTTATTATAATGGTAATATAACGATTAGGGTCTTTTTTCAAAATGGGTGGTGTACAGTTTTGAAAAAATTAAAATTGTGGAAGAGTATCGGCTTATGACGATAGGGAAATATCTTATGCGAGGATATATTATTCAGTACATTCATGTTAATTAAAATTGTAATGCGGCCACCAGTGGTTATTCAGTAAAAAAAGTCACTGAGTGGCTGATGCATTTGTGTGACTTTTTTTATCTTTCAGTTTCCATTAAGCAACATTTTTAAAAGCCTTCAGTGGACACATTTTAGTTGTCCTCCAATGTCCTTTCATATCTTATTATTCAAACATCTTTAAGTGGTCGTTAAAAAAACAACCTTTCAATGACATTAATAAATTTGTCCAACTTCTTAAAGGCTTTTAATAATCTGCCAAGAATACTCAGAGAGAAATTCAGTGGTTGTATTGAAATTTAAATTGTGATTTCAATCTTTGAGTCCTTAAAAAGAAAGGACGGATAATCCAAAAACATTTCATTTGAAAGAGAATTTACTTGCTTCTTTCAGTAAAAAAAATCACAAAAGATTGGTGAAGAATATTTTTAAAAAAAAATGATTAAAAAAATAACGAATGGATAAATACTTAGTCCAACATGAATAATTTTTGTTTCATACTCAACATAAAATCTTATCTAGGATATAGCTCCGATAAAATAATTTGTTACTTTGTTCTGTATCTGTTCATCTAGTATGAATTGTTTCACGAAAACAAGTTAAATATAAGATTTTATGTGCTATAAATTTATTGTAGAAATTGTTCTACGGTGATATTCTTTGATTGATATTTTATTTGAAAATAAGTCACAACATTTTGTAAGTATTTTTTTTTCTTGGATATTTATGGTTTCAAGCAAATTTACGCGAAAAAAAGAATTACCATTACATGCAATTGACATTTTCCTGATTATCAATGAGTCGTGTAATGATTAGTCTGCTTCTCCAAAACTGCGCAATTAACATAGAATATATAATGTGTATAACCGATATATACACATCGCCGAACTCATCAACAGGAAGAGTTATTAACAGGTGATTTGGATGTCCCCATTGGATCACTACGAACTTATGAGTGGCCATTGAGTTGACACTTAGTGGCCACTGAGGGTCATTGGCAGTCTCTTTTTTTTTAACCAGCAGTCACATTTCCGTGGTTAGTAAGGAACCATTTTGTCCTCTGAAAGGTGTATTGCATGTAATCAGAAATTTCTGGATCATGCATTTTAAAGAGGAACCTAATAATCAACTAAACGGAAATTGAATTTCGATAGCTGTTATTTTCTTTCTTGATTTTTTTTATTTCCATGGTTGCTATCTTGTACATCTTAAATAAAAATCTACTTTGACATGTTTTTTTTTCAAAATGCCTAGTTTTATTATGGCTTAACTCTAATTTCAACATATACCTTTTATGAATCAAAGCAGATTTCACTTTTTTAACAGGTGAGCGCAGATAATGGAATGTATTACAAAGAGTACTCACCTGACGTGACGTCAGACAATAATGTCATGGTAGCCAAGGCAGCAGAAATTGCCGGAAAATTTAGTGTCACCGGATTTATCCCAAAATACATGGTGGTGATTACATGGTACAAGATGGAGCAAAATCAAAGTCCTGCAACGCCATCTCAAGTAAATGTGCAGAAATCAATGTGATTGAAAAAAAAAAGGATTAATTCAAATATATCTTTTTGAGATAAAATTATAAATGATATACTGTAGTACATTGTATGAATTGAAAGTAACTCTCTGTAAATTTTGTTTTAAAGAAGACAACTTTTTAAAATTCTAAAACCGTTTGCTTCAAGACAACAGAAAATGCATCATTTGTGTGTTTATATCGATTAATTGTTGTATAAGAATTTCCTGTTTTTTGTAGACTGTGACATTCCAGCTCATCCTGATCACAGACTTCAAACACTCCTTCGTCAAGGTTACTTATGAGGACAGAGAAATGAAGTGGAAGGTACTGGATTCGGTTGGGAATTACCCAGTCAGGATTGGGACCCTCAAACAGGGAGGATCTGCCGTAGAATATGCTCAGTCTTACCTTGATCTTTTGAATGATGCAGCAAACAAACCTAAAATACAGACAATAGATGAGATTGTCATTTCGCCAGCTACAAAGTAAATGATAGATATGGTATCTTTTTTCTGCATGAAAATTCATGTTGACATCTTGATTGGAGTGAAAAGTTCAATGTTTCATAAAGTCAATCGTCTGTGATTGGCTGGTTTTTCGTTCCTAGCTAAATTCGATTGATTTGAAATAATCAGGTAGAAAAACTCAGTTATTTTATTCATAAACCTAACTTTTAATTTTATATTCAGAAAAAACTTTTTCTCATAATTTTTTAAAAGGAAATTCATATATTTCTACTCATTGATGAAATACACATTTTTAAGTAATATAGTGCAGGCCTGTTAAAAATAGTAAAATAAAAAAAACCCACTATTTTAAGGATAATAAGATTCTTGTTGCATATTACGTAAATTCATAAAGATATTTTTCCTTTATTGACAGTAAAGGTCGTTCATACTATCGTCTGTCAGAGACATCCCCGATTGAACATCCGGGTCTGCTGTGTTCAGAGTGGATAATCGCTGACGCCAGCGACAGCAATAAACCTGTTGTGAGTGCGGAGGTGACGAAGTGCCCACCCACCCTACTACAGAAGACAGACACTCTAGTGCAGTACACAGAAGCAGGGATTCCAAACTCTATGGCGTGTTTTGCAACAAGAAGCGCCATGTCTTCAACATCAAGCGATGCACGCACCATACGTTGTTGCTATGACAACACCAATAAAGGACTGGTTCTAGATCACGTGTTAGCCAAGGGGTTTAACACTTACAGGTAAAAATTATATTTTGCTCGACTTTGAGAAGAAGTAGGCTAGCTGAAATCCTGTTTGTTGGTGTAAATTCAATATTTTTTAGATTCTGATGGACTGTTTTTAGATCAGCGTTTATTCACCTTTTAAATAGAAGTTTTGATTTCTAATGTGTAAGAAACACTAATTTCTTGTCCTCCAGGCGTCACTCAGGACAAGCACAAACAGATGCTGACAATATGTATGGTAAATGCTGTGATGCCAACAACTCATACGCTTCCAAGGCAGATCTCTGTCAAGGCTTCCTCGAGAGACGTCCTGTCTGTACCTTTGACAATTTTGTCGCCAGTGGCGCCGGTAAGTTTACAATTTTTAAAATGTTTTGCACTTATTGTTTTGGATTTTTTTTTCTCTACGTTTGAAATTTTACACGCTTGAATGGAATAAGGATTGTGTTTTTCTTAAAGGCTTTTAATAACGCAATTAGTGGAGTATGTTAATTGTCTAAATTTGAATAGATTTTCATTTAGTTTCTTGCTCTTGTAGGTGGTGCCTTGGGTGATCCCCATCTAACTACACTAGACGGCTTGTCCTTTACCTTTAACGGGCATGGGGAATTTGTTTTGTTAATAGCTTCGGAGGTGGAGGTTCAAGGACGATTTTCACCGCTAGTCAATCAAGATGGTCAGAAAAGCGCAACCTTCATTAGTTCCATTGCTGGCAAACAAAGCACTCCTAACAGTGACAAGGTTGAAATTCGCCTTAATTCTGCTAAAGATAATGCAGGTTTGTATTTTTGTTATACTACTTTTATGATTTCAACTCGTCGTCACGCTTGTTAAAATAATAGTAGGTGAGCAATAATCTGAACATGCAATATAAGATAAAAAGTGTACTCTTCTGTATTGGCCAGGTCAATTGTGCTTTAAGATTCAGGAGCGTTGTCTAAGTGGAAAAAAATCTTGGAAGGGACTCGAGTTGTGATATGCCATATATACATATATATAATTATGTGCTTTATCGTAAAAATTAATTTCAAGGAGAAAACGTAAACTTTTATGAATTTAGGGGGTATAAGTCGGGTAATTCTGTGTAAAGCATGTAATATGTAACAATACTCTGCTAGACCCAATTTGTTATTCTAGAACTCTTGGTACTAGTATCTAAAATGAGCAGAAAGAGCAGTCTATTAAGGTAAAACGTCTCCGTTTTTAGCTCACCTGAGCTGAAAGCTCAAGTGAGCTTTTCTGATCACCCGTTGTCCGTCGCCCGTCCGTCTGTCCGTCCGTCCGTCTGTAAACTTTTCACATTTTCAACTTCTTCTCAAGAACCACTGGGCCAATTTTAACCAAACTTGGTACAAAGTACCCTTGGGTAAAGGGAAGTTTAAATTATTAAAATAAAGGGCCAAGTCCCCTTACAAGGGGAGATAATCAAGAAAAGACAAAAATAGGGAGGGGTCATTAAAAAATCTTCTTCTCAAGAACCACTGGGCCAGAAAAGCTGAAACTTAGGTGGAAGCATCCTGGGATAGTGTAAATTCTAAATTGTAAAAATCATGACCCTCGGGGGTAGGGCGGGGCCACAATAGGGAATCCAAGTTTTACATTGAAATATATAGGAAAAATCTTTAAAAATCTTCTTCTCAAGATCGAACCACTGGGCCAGAAAAGCTGAAACTTATGTGGAAGCATCCTGGGGTAGTGTAGATTCTAAATTGTTCAAATCATGACCCCCTGGGGTAGGGCGGGGCCACAATAGGGAATCCAAGTTTTACATTGAAATATATAGGAAAAATCTTTAAAAATCTTCTTCTCAAGAACCACTGGGCCAGAAAAGCCGAAACTTATGTGGAAGCATCCTGGGGTAGTGTAGATTTTAAATTGTTCAAATCATGACCCCCGGGGGTAGGGCGGGTCCACAATAGGGAATACAAGTTTTACATTGAAATATATAGGAAGAATCTTTAAAAATCTTCTCAAGAACCACTGAGCCAGAAAAGCTGAAACTTATGTGGAAGCATCCTGGGGTAGTGTAGATTCTAAATTGTTCAAATCATGACCCGCAGGGGGTAGGGCAGGGCCACAATAGGGAAAACAAGTTTTACATTGAAATATATAGGAAGAATCTTTAAAAATCTTCTCAAGAACCACTGAGCCAGAAAAGCTGAAACTTATGTGGAAGCATCCTGGGGTAGTGTAGATTCTAAATTGTTCAAATCATGACCCGCAGGGGGTAGGGCAGGGCCACAATAGGGAAAACAAGTTTTACATTGAAATATATAGGAAGAATCTTTAAAAAATCTTCTTCTCAAGAACCGCTGAGCCAGAAAAGCTGAAACTTATGTGGAAGCATCCTGGGGTAGTGTAGATTCTAAATTGTTCAAATCATGGCCCTCAGGGGTAGGGCGGGGCCACAATAGGTATTACAAGGGGGGAAGTCTGGTAATGAACAGCATGGCCAAAGTTACTCAGGTGAGCGATGTGGCCCATGGGCCTCTTGTTAGCTATTTTGATCAGAGATCAGACGAGCTTCTGCGTCAGTAAGGTGTCTGTTGTCCGTCTTTCATTCTTACATTTCATGATACCAACACAGTAAATCATTAAAAAAATGCTAATTAACAAATACGAAACATTAATTGTGTTATAAATAGAAATCCTGAAAAATGGTGGTGTTGAAAACGTGGACTTGTCCAATGATATAGACTGGAATGAAGTGTCTATCAGTAAGACAGAGGCAAACAACGTTACCACATGGAAAATGATCTTCAGTGATGGTCTGACAGCAGGTGTTCAACTGAAAAATGAAATGTTCCAACTGGTCATCGATTCTGCTGCCAAATACAAAAACAACTTCCAAGGTATTTCATAATTTAACCATATTTACGAAAAGATAACCTTTAAATAAGTACCCACAACATAAAAGAATTATGATTGTTTCCACTCGTAGTACATGTATTGTACACACGTTTCCTATTAATTAATCCCCCAAAAGAAATTTGTTTCCTCATTACTTACAATTTCAGTTCTAAAGCATCGTAATTTATTTGCTCGTCTTTATTTGCAAACAGGTTCAAACATTTACCAACTATCCTAGAAAACCCAAAATGTTTTAAATGTATTAACTGTTAGTAATACATATATTGGATTTTTATGATGCTCACTCACTCTGTTTCTCTGGACTTCCTGCATAACCTTTTATTTTCAGGACTTCTGGGTAACTTTAACGACGATAGTACAGACGACTTTAAAGCTCCAAATGGAACAGTGACGCCATCAACCTCTACAGAGGAAATCATATATAACTATGGAAAAACATGTGAGTAACGTTTTGGAGGTAGAAGGTTTCAAATATTAAAATCATATGTTTCAAAATACATTTCTATGAAAAATTTCGCTATGGCAAATGGTTTTATGAAATTTTATGAAATTTTTATATTAAAAAGATTACAAAAAAGAGCTTTTGTTCCGCGCATTTTTGATTCATAAAATGTTTCAGTTGATCATAGAAAATATATACAGTCTTGCATAATGCTGTCTCATTTGCTTTGCCAGGGCAAAATAATGATTCCAGCACCCTATTCACATACAATGGCAGCGACACTTGGAATACCCATATTGACGAGTCTTACACACCAGTGTTTTTCAATCCTGATCTTACTGTCATGTTTCCCAATTCAACCAAACGCTCCACTGCCATAAGTACATGTAATAGTGGAGCTGCAACGGATGACAACCCAGCATTGCGTCGGGAATGTTACTTCGACTTTAAAATAACAGAAAATGCTGCCTTAGCTTCTTCTACCTCTGAAACAAAGAGTGCGCTAGAGGAAACAAAATCCACTCTAGGTAATGATTATGAAAACTATTTCTTGAAGTGTACACCATATATGCAGGAAAAGTTCCTATTTGATTGTTTGTAGGGCTAGTTTTGTTTTACATATTCATATAAATATGAAATCGTCTACACTTTATTATATTAGAAGTCCACTTTGCTATCTTAACTGGTAAAGTTTCAATACTTTTGGGTAAAGCACAAACATTTTACTTGTACCACTTTGTTAACATTACCATTAATTTGCTTGAAAATATAAACAAGCAGAAATCATTCAGTAAGTTGCATTGAAAAATATTTTCAACATTCCCAAGTCCCAACAATCAATCGAATTGCCAAGCCAACCCTGGATTCCTGAAACGTCGCGAAAATACTTACAAATAAAGATATGTAGCGGTATCTAATATATGTTCTACCAATTATATTTCTTTACTTCTCACCTCAGAAAAATATTCACAGCAGTTAATGAGACAATTCAGCAGTATTGTACAACAACTTATTCGAGGAATGGTGTTAATCAAATGTAGATACTAAATACTCAAAGAACTTTAAGAAAATTTCAAATCGCAAAAATTTTCAAAAAGCATATGACTTTTCAACACTTTATACAATCATTCCTTAAGATAAAGCCAGCCTATTTGACATCAAAGATAACAGCTTCTTCATTCAATAAAAATTAGGATCATTCGGATTTCATACACAGCTCTGAAGCTGATATTTAAAAAGGTGCTGAGGTTCCTCACTGAATCATCTATGAAATCTTTGGAGACAGTCTTCAAGTGATCTCTTGGAATTTCCAAGAGTACAAATTGTTCTATTTTATTAGCCTATCTGGTTTTGTGTTGATATGAAAAATTTATTTATTCAAAAACTTAAACATACGTTATCAAATAAATGAGAATTATGCATGCTTTGTTCACAGCAAACTATCCACCAGAAATTAATAATGGAAATGTGACGTTTGAAGTATCTGTCGGACAGACGTTTACATTTCAACTGGATGCCACAGACAAGAATTCTGGCGATACCATTTACTTCCTGTTGAACGATGACGCACCATCAGGACTGGCAATAGATAACTCCACCAAGGTGTTGACGTGGACAAACGTCCCTGACATTAACAGTGCGGTGATTCAAATCACAGTCTCTGATGGGAAGGCGCAGTCATTATGGACGCCAAAAACAGAGCTTTGTAAATGTCAGGTAAGGTCAGAGGTTAATGAGATATTAGTAATTTTAGATATTAACATAGAAGATTGAAAATATTAAAGGACCAGAGTCATTAATTATGGATAATGATAATATTTCCTGGAATAAAATACTGTAATTAAAACTTTTTAGAGTTATCGTAAATCCTTAAGAACATTGCACTGCACGTCTTTCTAAAAATGTGCAGGTAAAAAACGGTAAAAAAAATATGCCTTTCAGAACGGTGGCCATTGTGACTTCAGTGTTAGCAGCAGTAATCAGTTTGTTGTCGTTCCCTGTGTCTGCGTGGCGGGATACGATGGGACTTATTGTGAGAATGACGAGGACGGTTGTGCAGATGGTCCCTGCTGGCCGGGGGTTGTCTGTACCGATGTCTTGGCACGAGATCTCAGCACCACACCCGCTGGCTTCACGTGCGGATCGTGTCCGACTCATCTTGATGGGAATGGAATCACGTGCACAGGTAATTATGACTTTTGCTGGTGTGCTATTTTAATGATTAACTTATTGGAGACTGAGAAATTCAGCAAAAGAAATTGTCGAATAGGAATTTAAAAAAAAAAAAAAAACAGAGATAAAACTTCTTTCTGTTTCAGTTAGCCCTGCTTGTTGTCTTAAATTTCTTGTGAAAAAGGAATTTCATAAAGTGATCAGTGGCTACTCAAATAATCGTGGTTTTCGGGTACATTTATTACATCTTGTGTGAAAATGAAAAACAGCATACCATCACATGTTTCAAGCTGAAAAAAATGGAAAGAGGAATTGGGATTCAAAAAATAATGTGTTCACCACTAAGAATCACAGTGTCAAATTACAATATATATCACGAAAGATGCCTTTCCTATGGTTTATTTCCGAAATATACATTTAAAAACATTAAAACAAAAAGAAACGTACCTAATCCTATTGCAAAGTATATTTACGCCCCCCCCCCCCCCCATGACACTATACTGAATATATTGTGGTAAAAGTGAATAAAATCGTCTAAATATGCATACATGTATTAAAGTATATCCTACTTTATTTTTTTTAATAGATAAGGATGAATGTGTTAAGAACTCACCTCCTCCTTGTGCTCATAACTGTACCAATATCCCATTTGGATTTACCTGCTCTTGTGCTGACGGCTATGTCCTAGGCGGAGATGCTAAAAGCTGTTCTGGTGAGAAGACAGTATATTACTGGTTTAAAATATTTGAAAAAAAATAATTTTTTTAACGTACGCAAAAAATCTCATAAAGAGTTATTATAATTTTTGTTCATCTTTGTTATATGTAATTAACAATTCTTATATAAATTTTTTTTTTAAAAAAACCTAGTAAAACGTTAAAATTTAATTTTTTTTTAAAGAATCTAACAAAAAGATTATCTTTATTTCACTTCTGATCTTTGCGGAGGTTCCATGTATTTGCTTTTCTCATAATTTGTATAATGTTTTATTGGACACCGCTTAAATACCGCTAGTTTTATCCACATTTCATGTCTATCTAAACATTAATGTGTATGATCCGTTTCTTTTGTATGTTCATAGATAAGGATGAGTGCTTGACGAATGCTGACCAGTGTGATGATGCAACAACAACCTGTCTAAATAACATTGGTGGGTACAGCTGTCCTTGTAAAACAGGGTACAAACGAGAGACAACTTATGCTTGCACTGGTAAGTTTCAATGTTCTATGTATCTGTGAAGTCTGTCTGTAGAAACATTTGACTTATATATAAGGACGTAGTGAGTTCTTAGCACATTATAATGGTAGAAAATTTTTGAAAATACGTTGAAAAGGAACACGTTATATCTAAAGAATTTTTTCTATTGCCCGTATATAGGATAAGATAAAAAATAACCGCATTCTTAAGTATTTTGAATAATAAATTAAAAAAATATCCACTTACAGTCTGCTTGTGTGTGATTTCTCAAATTATTCACTGACATGTGGAGTTTCTTTCTTAGACATAGACGAGTGTTCAAACTCCTCCATTCAGTGTCCCGCTAACTCCCAGTGTAGGAACAATGTTGGAAGTTACACATGTGTTTGTAACCATGGATATCGCAAAAATACGCAGACAAATACCTGTGAGGGTAAGCAAAAAATAAACACTGGACAGCATTGCCAACAAAATGAATGAAAATATGAAATAAAAAGAAAATATAAAAGTTGATTTATTGCAACATTTTACAATTTTCTAGATGTGGATGAGTGCGCAGGCTCAAACAATTGTGCCCAGAAATGTGTGGACGGAGTTGGAACCTACACATGTGACTGTAACACAGGATATAAATTAAATACAACCGACAAAATCAGTTGTATACGTACGTATCAAACAACGAAGCGTAGTCTTTCTATGTCTAACTGTAGCTAAAAAAAATATACGGAGAAACTCTAGGTTGTAAAAAATTAGTGTTTCCTTGCACGAATATGAAACGATAATTTCTAATTCAAGCCCAAGTAGAATCAACTTTCCTTAGGGCCGGTACGCACGATAAGGCTTGCCTTATAAGTCATAGAACTTAAGTTCTTGCCTTACCGTGTGTACACCCTCAATACAATTTTCGAGCTTTACAAGTCTGACTTACAAATAGAACATTGCTCTATTTCTTAATATAAGACTTATCTGAATTTTTCTTCTCAACCAATGAAAATCATTCGCCTATGATTCGTGTCATTCTATTTTTATCAAACAATACACGTGGGTATATTGAAGTGAATACAAAGTATTTTCAAATAAGCTAATGAAAATATCTACAAATGCTTCTGTTCAACCTCTTCCTCTTTTTTTAAGAAGTGTGAATGTACTTGTTGGTATAATTATATTACAAAGCCTAGTAATCTATTCTTGTATTTCAATGACCGAACGCACTATATATTTATGGCTAGAAACACGTGGGATTTATGGAAATGTTGTATATAATCTTGTAAATCTTGCCTTAATCCTGTGGACACGAGAGCGTACGTCCTGCAAAATGTAAGGTTTTAGACTTATAAGGCAAGTCTTACCGTGTGTACCGGCCCTTAATCTGAATCCAATTTTTAAAGAGGAGTCATTCACTATTCAATAACCTTTAGAAAGTATGAACAATGAAGTAAATTTAAAAGAAAACATTTTGTTCATAAAAGAATTTATTTATTATTATTATTATTTTTTTTACAAAAATAGAATAGTTATAAGTATGTAAAACTAAACCAAAGAAATAATTCAAAGATAGGGGAATATATATCCAATACGCTCATTGTAATTGTCCATCAAATGTTTAGTTCTTTCAAAGTGGTTGTTCACATAATCTACACCGGAATATTTTGCAACAGCTGATAACGAATGCACAACTGAACAGAAGAACAACTGTGATGGTGGAAATGAAAGAGCGTCCTGTGCAGTGTCTAGTGGACAAGTCTACTGCATTTGTCCTTCTGGTTTTGCCCTGAATGCCAGCAATTACTGCATAGGTAAACTAATAATTGAAAGGTAACCAAATAATAAAAATAGGTCTCAGATAGATTATAGGAACCGATTTTCTCTGAAGAATGCTCTGGACAAAAGTCTTTTAGCATCATATTTTGACCAAATAAAAAAATAAAATAAAAAATATATAAATAAATTAAAAGTCCAAAATAAAGTTTTCATTAAAAGTTTTCATGAAAATAGAATTTTTACACTGTAAAACTTAATTCAGAAAGACTGTAGTATCAAAATATAAAATAATGAAAAAAAAAAATCTTTTACTCAACGCCCTTTGCTTATCCTAAGACTAAATTAGGGCTTGTCCTGTTATGATTGACTGTTGATTTCGTAAAAAAATATTTCTTCCAATAAAACCCTTGTTACTCATATGTTTCCTGAAGAATGGAATGACCGTATTAAAATTGTGGTACTATTTTTAGTATGTTACTATTTTTAGACATTGATGAGTGTACCACAAATGCTGACACCTGTGTTGATGCTACGAGCACTTGTGAGAACAATGAAGGAGGATTCAAGTGCAATTGTAAAACCGGGTACAGTGGACAGGATGCGTATACATGTACAGGTCGGTATTACATCATGAACATTCAAAACAGAGGAAACAGATTTATGCTGCAGTCTTGTAAATTATGTAATGATTAAATGCCGATTGAACCATTACTATAATGTCATTTCTTTGTTCTTGTAGTCTAAAAATTTATCTTTGGTACTCCGATATTAGTGAAAAGTCTGATATTAATTTTAATGTCAGACTGTCTTAGTACCGAAATCCTTACAGACTGGACTGTTACAGAGCAAAAGAAATTAAAACGTGAATATTTAATGATCTAGTACAATGAATATTGAAAAAAATAATATTATTTTCTAGAATTCACAATACAGAATTGGAAAAAAAAATGAAATTTCCAATTAAACCGAATACATGTATACTGTAATAGGTAGGGAGAAAATGAGACCGATCTTACCATGATTCAAACACGACTACCTTGAACTTGTAATAAACTTAATTAAGCAGTGTATTTACTTACCTGGATGGAATACTTATAAACAGAGGTAGTTTACCGTCAAAAGCAATGTTGGCTGGTAAATCTGTCATTTTAATCATAGAAGAGTTCTACTTCTGGTTATATAAAAAAAAATATCCATTAAATATTCAACCTTGTATAAAGTTATCCTCAATGTCTGTTATTAGAAATTAATATACCTTCAGCGTCAGCTTTTATTTTCTCTGTTTGTTCATTTGAAATCAAAGTTCCCATCTGCATTTTCCTTTTCATTCCCATGATTGTCTGTATCATATTCCAAGATATTGCTGTGAACTCTCTTCATGTTTTAAGTAAGAAGTTACTCTCCATTTCAAACAATTAAATTACTTCAAATACTATCAACTATATATTTGATTAAAATTAACTGAGTAGTTTTCCTTCCAACATATTTTTTGAAAGAATTGCGTCAACTGTCATTAAAAATGTTGTCTTCTGTTAAAATATCAGACTCTCTGAGGTAATTTAACAAATGAAATTTGGAAGGCAATGTTTAAGGTTCTGTATAACAAAAAATAAGACGGTGTAAGTCTGGTCGGGCCGTTAGTTAAGGACAGAAAACTGTTTTATATATTTTTTTTCACATAATATTATGAGGAATATTCAATACTTAAAAGAATGTCCTTGAAATTTACTCTCAACGGTCCGATATTTTAGCAAAAGACGAAAGCTTTAATGACAGTTGAATCAATTTCTTCAAGAATGAAGGATTGAAAAGAGAATTAGATTGTTAGAATGGAGAATGGGGAGGAAATTCCACACTACTTAAAACATGCATTAGATCTGAAAGCAATGCATTGGATTATGATACCGACAATCTAGTGAATGATATTTTGGATATGGAAAGGAAACAAAAAACAAATGTTAACTTGAATTTGAATAAAACTCAGAAAAAGGCATTTTCTGAAAGTATTATTATATTAATTTTTAAATAGAAATATTGAGAATAACTTTAAAATAGATTGCATATGTAATTTTGTTATAAAACCAGAACTCTTGTATTTTATTTTTATTTTTGTATTGACATATTTACCAGCCAATTCTCCTTCCAGTGGTAAATTACCTCTGAATATAATTATTCAACCCCGGTAATGGAAAATCACTAGATGAAAAGATTGCTTTAAGTTTAGTGGGCTCGAGTTTGACGAGATCACTTTTGATGTCAATCTCACTTTTCCACTATTAATTCCTATTGTAAAAGTGAGACTGAGATATAAAGTGAGCTCATCTAAGTTTTATGACCCCGAAGCCAGGTCTAGTCGATTGCACTCCCCCCTGGCTGTTACAGTATATTAGGTTTTATTGGAAGTTCAATTTTTCTTTTTCAATTATGTATGATTGAAAAACATATTATTATATTCTGAAATGATCATTGTACTTGTAATATTAAACTTTGTGTGTGCTTAACCATCATTTTTTTAATTTCTTTTGTAAGTAACGGTCCCATTAAGAAGAGTAACACTACCGAGACAGTCTGATATAACACTTAATAGCACACTGCCCACTTATATATCGGTTTACATAAAGGTAAATTTTAAGGCTGCAAGAACAAAGGAATGACATCACAGCTAAGTCTTTAAAGTTTGTTTGACAAGGAAATCTTGATTCTTAGATATCAATGAATGCACCAACGGATCTCACAACTGTATTTCACCCGCTACCTGTCAGAACAATGACGGGGGGTTCACTTGTCAGTGTCCCTCAGGGTACAACAAAGGAGTCAATGGTCGTTCTTGTGTTGGTAAGAATAAAAAACAATCCAAATGTTCAAGTTTGTGTTATAAATGTCATTTTGAAATTAAAATATGGAAAAGAATGTTATAAAGCAGAATATATCCGAGTTTAATGTCTTCAAATTTCTTAAAGTTTTAAAAGTCTTAGAAGTGTAAGAATAATTGTCTTTTGACAGTAAATGTATGCATGTTCTTAAACATGCTGTTGCAAAACATTATACTGGTATCTGCCATTTTGTCCAAAGAAACTCTCTTTGCTATTGATCATGCTTCATCAAAAGAAAAAAAAAATAATAACATGAGGCTGTGGTATTTTGATTCAAATTTATTCCTCCATTGCTTGTCGCCCTTCTGGGCTGGATTGCCTTAATTTTTGTCTCTCCATGCATAGGTATATGCCCAGTAATTGATAAAAAAAAAACACACACATATTTTAGCCAACATACATATAATGTATCTCTTAATACCTCTTTTGATGAAGGTTCATCCTTTGTCTTGGTCAAACGCCTTTATTATTGACATTCCTATCAGTATGTCAAAAATAAATTAATTAAACAAAACAGATGTTGTCCATATCTTAATCTTTGTAAGACATATTCTCTTTCTTGACTTTAAGATGTTTATTGATTTAACTCTATATATATATATATATATATATATATATATATATATATATATATATATATATATATATATATATATATATATATATAATCAGACGATCTATAGCTTGCCTTCTGTTTAAGACATTGATGAATGTGCCTCCGCCGCCACACACGCCTGTGATAAGGTACATGGCAGCTGTACTAACAAAAATGGAGGATACGATTGCAGCTGTAACACTGGATTTGTCGGGGATGGGTACAACTGTGCAGGTATATGATATACCTGTGATATATTTTTTTATTATTATCTTAAGGTATACTACTGCTTTAGTATGAATTTTCTTACATTTTTTTCCCGGTTATAGAGCTTTTTTGTAATGAGTTATTAAAAATATAGTAATTGAAATCTATTCGTTTAAAAATACTATCAAGTATTTCTATGCATATTTTGCATTACTTTATACCTTTTACTTTTTCTTTTTATAAACAAAATTACTGTCCATATGTTAATGAGAACACTATGAAGACCTTAAAAGTGTCTGTGTATTCATACATGTATAAATTGCGAAAAAATGATAGTGAAATACATGTATCACATAAACCATTGGCTATACCGTTGTTGATTACCGTATTTGATATGTTTATGAATATTTCTTTATTCACTAGTAAGTGATATTTTTCAACGTATAGAAAATTAATTTCATTAAAAGCAAAGTTCGGTGTTTCATTTTTTAATAAGAAAGTAAAATGTTTAAGCATTAAAAAGTAAAATCTATTTTAAGGCTTTTTATCTACCCCTTTAATTAATTTGTAAAGAGTTCCTTTGAAGGCACTTTGATATTGAAACATTACGAAATACATTCAACATTTACAATAATTTTTAAAAGTATTGGGAAAAAAAATAGAGGCAGGTGTTTCTTTTGATTATATTGTTTATAGAATTTTTTTTATCAATTATGTATAAAGTTCAGTATGTTTAAAATCCAAATTCATAATCTTGTAAATCGAATATCGAATATATATATATATATATATATATATATATATATATATATATATATATATATATATATATATATATATATATATATATATATATAAATTTTTTTAGAAGACAAATGTTAATTAACATCATTTCAGATGTAAACGAGTGTGCTCCTGGTGGCTCTAGTAATTGCACACAAACCTGCACCAACAACATTGGAAGTTACTCTTGCTCCTGTTTAAATGGATATACGCTGAATGCCAATGGATATACCTGTAATGGTACGGACACCAGAAATACATACTATTACAAGGGAAAATAAATGTGTCCGTTAGAAAGATTGTTTGCAAGGATACACTTTCTTCTCATAAGTGAACCTTTCCATCAGAGTAGAGAGGCCTTAAATAATATGGGAAGGTATTTTCGCATATCCCGTTTGCTTTCAACATCAAATATCAAAAAATCATTTCAGTCGTTAATGCTTTAAACATTCAAGTCATCCAAGGTGAGTTCAATCTATCCTCCCTATCCTGGATTCCTTAACTTCAGAATAATCTTTACAAAGATACATTGTCGGGTCCAGCAAATGCTTTACAAAGCCCATATCCTTACTCCTTAAAATATATTAACCGTTGCAAAGGAGAAACTTCATCACACACTGGGCTACAGCATATTTTAAAAGTGGTGTGGATTCTCAAAATCCAAAGAACATTTAGAAAATTCAAAAATACCAAATTTTTAAAAAAAAAAATTAGTAAACATCAAAACATAAGACACTTTATACAACTATTCCTTGTGATAAATTAAATAATAGGCTTTTTTGGTATCATAAACAACTGCGTCTTCTATAAAAATGGAACTCAAAATTTTCATATCAACAAAATTACTTTGTTAAAATCACTCTGATTCTACTCATAAGTCCTCTAAAGTTTATATTAAAGAGAATGCTGGAGTTTCTACGTAACAAAATCTATGTAGTCTCCGAAGAACAGGTCTTCGAACAAACTATTAGAATTTCGATTAGCACTAATTGTGTTCCTTTATTAACCGACCTGTTTTATATATTCCTATGAAGCAGAATTTATTCAAAAGCTTCTACTTGAGAAGAAGAAATTACTCGCTGTAGCCTTAGCTTCAACTCGACATTCAGATATATTGATATATTGATATAGGGTTGTCATTCATAAGTCGACTCAATATATCTCAGTGAACTCGAAAAAAAATATACCACAGAGTCTGTCGCATCTGTTTCATATTTAAATGTTTCACTGACTATATATGATGATAAAAGCCAACTATCAACTAAATTGTATGACAAGGGACAGGACCTCCGCTTTTCCATCGTCAACTTTCCTTATATATGTAAAAATATTCCGCTATCACCTGCATATGATGTTTATTCGCTACCCAAGAGCATGCTTTGAGTACGATCAAGCTTTAAACCGAGGCAGATTACTGACCGATAAGTTGATGTTTCATGGATTCAGCGACCTTGTTTAAAGTCAGCAGTTCGTAAATTCTATGATCGTTATAATTTCCTTGTTAAGAAATATAAGCTATCATTGGGTCGTATTTTGGCTGACGTGTTTCATACAAATTGTTAGGCCTTTATTTTTATACTAAATTTAACAACGGAATACTCCGTCTACCTAATCAATACATAGGACTCGCGGCAAGTGTGACTGGTCGACAGTGGATGCTTACTCCTCCTGGACCCCCCTCTTGGAATTTCCTGGGTTCTGTGTTTTATGCCCTGTTCACAGATTTGGATTGTTTGTAGATTTTTTGAAATCGATGACTGATCGTTATCCTCACCCACCTTTTAATACGCCTTAATGCTAACATCTGAGCCTATGAGAACCGTAAATAAAAGTTTTAACAACATGTTAGCTTATCGGTGTAAAGTAAATAGATACACAATTAACAGGAAAATCAGATTCATCAGATTAAATGCTCTATGTATTTGAAAAATTGTCACCAGAGAGGTTGTTATAAAGAACTATCATGTATGTGGCTGTTCTCGATGTATATTTTTATTTATTATTATTAATGAAATCCTTTTTATACAATTCTGTCTATAGAAATCTCAAAAAATAAAACAAAAATGAAAGATGATTTTATATTTTTTAACAATTTATGATGATTTCTCTGGACAGATATTAATGAGTGCTTGGATTCTGCAGCCAATGGTTGCTATGACAATAGCCAATGTACAAACACCGATGGCAGTTACACCTGCTCTTGCCCTACAGACTTTCGATTAAAAGGCGACGGAAGAACCTGTGAATGTAAGTTTATTATATTTGTTGATTTTGACCGAGTCAAATCTATTATGACAAATGTTTGTTACGTTTAAAAACTGATATTAATTTGATATATATGTTTGGAGTTAATTGACACGCTATGGTTATATTTTAGCCATTTACAAATGTGACAATAACCATGGATGCAATTACACGTGTGGAAAAGTAAATGGTCAAGATACGTGTTCTTGTCCAGCAGGGTACCAGTTAGATAGTACCGGGAAGAATTGTGAAGGTAAGTAATGAATGATTGATTGATGTATGTTTTTTTTTTTTACCTCCCGTTCGAGAATTTTCACTCGTATAAAGACGTCACCATATACCGGTGAAGGGCTTCAAAACTAGACCTTTACCCGGCACTCAGGGTCATTGAGAAGTGAGGGTTCTTTATCTTGCCAATACCTGCCGTGGCACGGGGCCTCGGTCTTTAAGGACCCGCAACTTTCACTGCAAACTGCCGAGCGCTTGGCGAAGGAACAGTTGCAATCTATTTTTTATCGACTTAGGTCAGTCGAGGCTGTGATTCGAACATACGACCTTCCGATCACGGAGCGAATCTCTATCGACTGAGCTACCGTGACAGCGGTAATTAATGAAAGAAAGGCTACCAATGAGATGGCAGTGACGAAAATTGTGTGTGTGAATGATTAGACTACAGAGGAAACTTAATGGGTGGGTAATGAAAGATGGTAAAATTGCGAAATGAAGAAAAAGGAATACCAAACCTGTATTTCTTAATATAAACATTTATGCCTCCTTTTTCGAATGCAATCTTCGTTTTGCCCTTGTGAACATTGTTGTAAGGACAGTGAATCTCAAAGTGATGACGTTTATCTTCTTATCATGGGTACCAACATCGTAAAATTTTATTGAAGAAAGGGTTTAATAATTAATTTGTAGACTGATCCATCATTCATCATGCAATTGCTCAGAGATCTTAACAATTCAGTCATAACTTTGACTCAATATATTGACATATTTTTGTATCATATAAAACAACAAACTTAGGTCTAAATTAATTCTTATTAAAAATCTGAGCTATTACCCATACGCAGCTTCGTGACGGACAGAGAGATGTACAAGCAAGCATGCCAAACTGATATTTTCTTCCTTTGAGAAGAGATATGAAAACGGGGTACTATTCAGATGGCGAGAAATAATAGGAAATATCTTTATAAATATGAAAAGAATTCATCACATACCTTTCACACAAATTTAATAAAGTCATGCTCTTTTTTTCATTCAGACTGATATAAATATTCAAAAAAACGAAATTTCCTTTTTAAATTAAAAATATATTTAATTATATGGCAAAAGACTACTAAATGCACTAGTTAAACTGATACTTTGTGCAAATATTAATTATATTTGAAATCTTTCATTAGTTATATATCAGTGTAAGTCATTCCTTAAGCTTGTATACTTTTTCGTGTTTCACAGACGTTGATGAGTGTGCAAATACAACTTTACATCGGTGTGAGTCAAGCAACAATGTGGTATGTGTCAACACCATAGGATCACACGTGTGTAACTGTGTGAATAGCTCGTACGTTAAATCACAGGAAACAATATGTGTGGGTAAGTCATTCCATAAGTAAATTTTCACACACACAAATAGGTAAACATCTAGTGTTTCTCTACGATGACACCCAAGTATATTATGCAATATAATCTTTAACTGACTTGTTTTTTTTACAGATAAGGACGAATGCTTACAAGGAACTGCTAACTGTCCTTCGAACTCGCAGTGTAATAATCTTGATCCTGGCTTCGAATGTAACTGTGTACAAGGGTACAGAAAGGTTGGCGCTACATGTCTGGGTAAGTGTCGCTGTTTATCTAATTTTGCTGCTATTAACTACTACCTTTCTTCGAGGAAAATTAAATGGATTTTAATATATCTCAATACTAATAAGGGGTAGGGTGGGGCTACAATGGGAGATCAATGTTTTACATGGGAATATATAGGAAATATCTATTTCTAGAAAACAGCAGAGCTATGATATTTATTTGGAAGCACACTTTGTGTATTTATGTTGTGTATATTCAAGTTTGTTAATATCATGACCCCAGGGGGTATGGTGATACAAAATTGGGCGATCAAAGTTTTATATAGGAATATATAGGAAAAAAAAAACTGCTAATGAGGAACAAGGAGGACTATAGTTACTCAGGGGAGCGGTGTGGCCCATGGGCCTCTTGTTTACTAGATCAACCCAATGTAACCAATTTTGGTATATAGAAACTATGGGTAAAAAGAAATTCAGAATCAATTTACTTATCCCTAACCATGGCAAAACCATTTAAAATACATGCAAATTATAAATGCCTTTTTTCTAATCCTGGATATTTTGAAAGAAAGTGCAAGCAGGATTATAATCCGCTGTTAGTCCTTTATCAAAATTATGATATCCATGACCCAAGTGTTAGAGGTGCAAAAAATGAGCTTAGTTGCATCAGTATTGAAAAATAAACATTTAAAAAGTTTATTTATTTAGAGAGATATATGGCAAACGTTTTTGCAAATACCACCAACAATAAAGTCTCTGTGTTTTGGGGTTCATAGCCAAGGGATTGCTAATGTTATGCAAGTATATTAGGGAAAGTGAATTCACTTAAATGATAGACTTCTAAGAAGCAAACTGTCTTCATGCTTATTATGAGCTGTAAACCCAAAATTGAGAATACAGTTTTCAGGATTGAGGTTGCAGATTAAGGGCTTATTTCAAATAATTCAAAAGATAAATATTGCATTGGAAATATTCTTCTTCCTTAAACCTGGACATTAAAGAAAAAAAGCTATTATAGAACTTGAGTCCTAGGTTGAGATTTTATTTATCACATAGTGAGAATCTATCGTTGCAAATTCTCTTTTTTGGGTCGTTATTGGACAACTGTTTGGTTACTTAAATTAACGCTCCCAGAGTTCAACATTCGGACCACAAAATAACACAAAGTTGACAATATATTGCAAATTCATTTTTTAAAATTATTAATTGACATATAGTAAGCAAATTCTTTACTTGATGAAAATAAGCAGTGAAATTCATTTCTCCTGGAATGAAAATCATACATAAAAAAATCATCATATCTTTTAAAATAATTTTTGATCATAAACATCTATCAAACTCTTAAATGATTGTGATGTGATAAGCTTTAACATTCCTGCCCCCGAATTCAGGTTTTACAACCATGGGTTAATTAAAGTTGGCCTTATATTGAAAGTACAGTCCATTTTGGAAAATCATCTTCAGTCTTTACTCATAGAAAATCTAACAGCAAATTTTATTGCAAACATTGTAGGAATAAAACATCGGGACATCACAAACATTTTTTCCCACATATATTGTTGAAATTGTTATTTCTCAATTCCAGACATTGACGAATGTGCAAGTTCTAATTATAATAACTGTAATGACACGTTAGCCACCTGTACCAACACACAGGGGGCATACACTTGTACCTGCAACACGGGATACTCTGGAGACGGAAGAACATGCACTGGTTAGTGCTAAGTGTCTTTAAAACTTTGTTTTTTAAAAAAAGCAAATAAGCTATAATTAATTCTTTTATCTAAGTTTGATGAAAAATCCTTTATATTCTTATTTATAATTAAAGATGTTAATTATGACATACATAATGTATCAAGAGCTGATTCCAGACTGGCGTCGGCACAACAGAAAAATGAGTTCGATGTCATCAATTTAACATTAAACTGGTCGTAACATTTTTAAGACCTTGCTAGAAAAAAATGAATAGTTTAGAGAAATGGAAAAATGGTATGAATACCCCCTTTAAATAACCATGGATGTGACTTGGGATCTGTTACCTTGTTGATTTAGGAAAATTACCTAATACTTATTGAACTGGTCTGTAATCATTTAGATGTGGATGAATGTGCTGAAAATACACATAACTGTGACAGCCGGCCAGAGAGGAGGACGTGTACTAATACTGTTGGCTCTTTCACCTGTAATTGTAGTGATGGATACATTCTGGCCAGTGATGGCAGGACATGTAACGGTGAGAAAGAGAGAAAAAAGGTTTATTTTGTTAAAAAGTGTGGCTTGTTGTCTTAACAAGAATGCATGAAGTAAATGTTATAGGACAATACGGGGAATACTGATAGAAAGGTAGATTTTGATTTATATAACCTGAGTCACTCAGGTGACCTTTGCTATCCGTTTCGGTTGTAAACTTTTGATCTTTTCAGCTTCTTCTATGTCACAAATTACTGGTTGTACTTTTCAACCAATTTCGGTAAAGAGCAAATGAGCATTATATATAAGGAGAAAATGTTAGTTTCATGGTTTCTAATTGCCAAAGGCGTGTCTGACACTTCTGTTTCATATTTGCATATTTTATAAGAAAGGAGGTGAATAGTAACCTAACAACAAAACTTTTTGATAAATGTGATGACTTCAAATTTTCTATTGTCTATTTCCCTTATTTATGAAGCAATATACCATTATCACCTGCATATGGAGTTTCTATCTCCCAGTTGATTCGATATCCAAGAGTTTGCTCTACGTATGAACAATTTCTAAAACGAGGCAAGCAATTGACAAACAGGTTGATGAAACAATAATATCAACAGTCTTGTTTAAAGTCAACATTTCTCAAACTCAAAGGTCGATAGCATGACCTTGTCAGCAAATACAATCTATCATTACATCAAATGCTGACTGACGTTTTCCATACAAATTGTTAGGTCATTATTTACACACTGAGTTTTCTACGTATTTTTCATTTACCCAGTCATGACAAGGAGAACACAAGGACTAGGAGCACACAGCGGGTGTGACCGGTCAACAGGGGATGCTTACTCCTCCATTGCCTGATCCCACCTCTGTTTTTCGAGGTCCATGTTTGCTCTGCTTCCAATTTGTATTGTTTAGATAGAATTTTGAGCTTGATTACTGTTTGTTATCATCATATTCAATCGTAATATCCTAGCTCTTCTCAAAATTGTAAAATTTATGTTCAACTTTATAAAAGAAGAAACTACATCTCTCGCTTGAAAATCTTCTCCCTTATACCTGGATATATAGGAGTAAAACAATGCATGCCTATAATAAGCAGATGGTTCTTTATCTAAACGGAAAAAAAATTTAAGAACCCTGGATCCAGGGTTTAAGCCCAAGGTTTAGTGAAGTTGTTCATTTATATTGAAATACATGGACTTATTTCTGGAGTAAGGTTAGCATAACTATGATATGGAGTTAAACTTCCACCATAATTATGAAATTAATCTCCACCAGGTATAGGTCTTGAACTTCGTTTTTGGTTAAGTCAATTTTTAATTGGTCATTTTTCAGATGTGGATGAATGCTCTGGAAGCCATGGTTGCCAACAAACTTGTGTAAATAAAGCTGGTGGATATGAATGCGCATGTCAGCTTGGTTATAGACTTGATGCTAATCAAAGGAATTGTAGCGGTTGGTAGTCTAAGATTTATCTCAACTTAACATATTCATTGCAGAATCTTAAGGATAAATTAATGTCAAAACAGGTCTTCAGATTGATCTTCGTAGAACCTGTGACTGATAGAAGGAACAGGATCCTCCGCTCAAAGACTTACTCGAAAAGGGATAAATTTGCATGTCCTTTTACAAAATGTTCTCCTATAATGATTTTGTCCAATATGGTGCACAAACTTTACTTGATTCTCAGTTTTATCTACATATTCTGTTAGAAAATAGTCATATTGACAAAAACATTCCAAGTTTGTAAAGAGAGGAACTTTCTCCCCTGAAAAACATAAACATGTGTATGAAATGTATATTTTAGTGGAGGCAGAGTGTGAAGCAGCAAAGAAAGCTACGTGTCAGGACAATCGATGTGCAAAGGTAAACGGTACTGATACGTGTTCATGTAATACGGGCTACCAACTGGCTGCTGATGGGACCACCTGTAATGGTAGGTATTATGTCGTTACAAAAAACAAAACTATTATGTGCTTTTCTCTGTATGTCATTTTATTTTTATACATTTTCATTTTTTTAGTCTTATTATCAGTTTATTGTTTTCTTTTAATAGATGTTAATGAATGTAACAACTCTCCCTGCTATGCGACCAACAGTGCTTGTACAAACACGGTGGGGTCATATACCTGCTCCTGTATAAATGAATATATACTGGGTCCCAATAATGTGTGTAAAGGTACATCTGATTCAGAAGAAAAGGATTAAAATTAATTTTTCTGCATTAACAACTTTTGAAAATAAAAACAAATATATTTTGATGAAATGTTTGGTTATAGATCGCAATGGCGGCCTGTCAGCCTGGTCAGCATGGGGTGCATGTTCCCTGACTTGTGGTAATGGGACCCAAACAAGAACACGGTCATGCAATAACCCTACCCAAGAAGGAGCGGGGGCACCTTGCACTGGAGAGACATCAGAAATACAAAGCTGTAACCCCAATATTTGCCCACGTGAGCATCTTAAGACTAATTATATCTTTAGGTCCTTTATTCTCCTCCTTACTAGTTGAACAAAGTCTAAATGTCATATCTGATACTTAATTTGAAATATAATTTATATTTCTGTATATTTCTACTTATCATTGTGATACAAAAAAATCTACATCGTTTCTAAAATCCATTTTTTAATTTATAAGCAAATCAAGTAGAAAAGGATTATGGCGTTTTAGTGCAGTACAAAGGACTGCCTGTGGCCAAGGTAAGATGTTTGTTAATTTTTAGGTCACCTGAGTCACTCAGGTGACCTATTGCTATCCGTTCTCGTCCGTCGGCGTGCGTCGTGTGTTAACATTTGAACATTTTTAGCTTCTTCTCTGAAACCGCTTAACCAATTTCAACCAAATTTGGCATATAGCATTTATGGGTGAAGGGGAACAAAAATTGTGAACGTGGTCCCTGCCCCCCTGGGACCTGAGGGGTGGGGCTAAAACCACCAAAAATAATGCAATCTTTAAAAATCTTCTTCTTTACTCCAGGACATCAAGCAGTCAAACTGTTGGCATCATTGTAATAAGCATTGAGCACTCTACCAAAATTGTGAAATTCATGGCCCCAGGGTCAGAGGTTTTGGCCCCAGTGTGGGGCTATATAGATCATATAGTGAAAGTGCATTATTTCTTTGAAAATCATCTTCTCTGCTCCTGGGTATTAGATAAAGTAACTAGGTACATATTTATCAAGAAGTGCCCATTCCGAAATTGTGAAATTCATGGCCCCAGGGTCAGGGGTTCTGGTGTTAGGGCGGGGCTCTATTGATTATATAATGAAAATGCATTGATTCTCTGAAAATCTTATGTGCTACTGGAGATTATTTAAACAAACTAAGTGCATGGTTATGATGCATAAGGATGCCTTTTCAAAAATTGTGAATTTCATGGCCCCAGGGTCAGGGGTTCTGGTGTTAGGACGGGGCTCTATTGATTATATAGTGAAAATGCATTAATTCTTTGAGAATCTTCTTCTCTGCTACTGGAGATTATTTAAACAAACTAAGTACATGATTATGATAGGCAAGGATGCCTCTTCCAAAATTTTTTAATATATGGCCTCAGTTTTTGGGGTTCTTGAGGAAGAGGGGGGGGGGGGCTCTATTGATTATATAGTGAAAAAGCATTAATTCTGTTATTTAATCCTGTCTGCTCCTTAGCGTTGAGCTGATAAATAAATTGCTAAGGTATGATGAAAATGGGAGCTTCGAACAAAATTTTTGAATCTTGTGGTCCTAGGGTCAGGGTTTCTGGCATAATGAGGAGGGGGGGGGGCTTTTGATAATATAGTGGAAAAGTGTTAATTTTTTGAAGTCCATAGTTATGATGATGAGGGTAACTCTTCCAAATTTGTGAATTTCTTGACCCTTTGTCTTGGGTTCTCATGTTAGGTTAAGGCTTTGTTGAATCTGTAGTGAAAATGCATTGTACCTGTGAAATTCTTCTCTGCTTCTTGGCATATCGGAAAAAAAACTGAGTAAAAGTTTAAATGATATAAGTAAGCGTATTTCTACCAGATTTTTGAACATCTGGACCATTTGTCTCAGCATTCTAGTCCTGGGCAGGGCTCTATTAATTTGTATTCTACTGAGAGAAGTTATTCCCCTTTTCCATTCACCTTTGATAATAAATCACTGTAAATAATGTATTTGAAAGGTTAATAGAATAAGATAATTATGCAAGAATGTTTATCATATAATTCAAAAAGTATTTTCTTAGTTTTAATAATCAGGTAGATCTGTAAGTAATAGATAAATAAAAATGAGACAAAAATAACTAATCTTATTAAAAGTTCTTCAAAGACCATAAGAAAGGTCAATGATAGAGGTCTTAATATGGGTTTAAAAATAGTACAGAAGCACTAATAGTTTGTTAATAGTCTGCATGTGAGAACTTAATTTATGAGTTGATACTGAATACTAGACTAATTATTTTGTTGATCCTGATCTTCCTATTTCTCTTGCTTTAGGGCAACAAAGCTTCATCCATCAGTGTATTTAACTTCTAAATTGTTGTATTATACCGTTAAGGCCCTTGGGCCTCTTGTTAATTATTTATTATTATTATTATATATATATATATATA